CCAGAATGAGTCTCCTACGGATCATAAATCTAAAAAATTATCAAAAAAGTACAAAAGTATCAATTTATAAATTTTAATTTATGCAGAAAAAGTGTTATAACTTAAGAATTCACTGTAGTTATTCCCTTTATTCTCATCTCTCAAGTTCAATTCCTAAGTTGTACTTGGTGGAATTCAGCAATTAAATCATTTTGCCTCTCAAGTTCAAATCTATCATATCTAGCCAAGTCAACTCATTGTATTTCTATGTAAATTAAAATAAGCTTTAATTAAACGCATTAAATCACTTTGAAATTCAATTGAAAACAACAAAAATTTTAAAAATGTTTCTCTATCTTTTTATTTAATTATCGAATTTTACTATATATCTAAATCTATAACTTACCTCTCAATTTATAACAAATTCACAAGTCAATGAATAATAACTAATTACTTCAAAGACGTTACAAAATAAGAGTAAAATTCATGAAGAATTTTGATATTGAAATTAAAGCTTCAAATTTAAGTTACATCATTCGTTTCAATTTGAATTTAGTTACACATTATAGGAGACGAAAAATACAAGAAATAATTGGAGTATATCATCGAGTTTGAAGCAAAATGAGAGAAGATAGATCATCTTATACCAAAAATCGCCTTCTTCCACGTCAAATCTTGAAATCCCTAACTTCTTAAAAATTTCCTTGATTTTTCTCTCTAATTTTTATGTTTTGGAACGCTTCTCCCTTCAACTTGACCTAACTAGGTCCTTACGTAGTGGGAAGAATGCCTAAAAAAGAGTCAAAATGGAAGAAAAGCCCAAAAAAAAATAAAAATGTAGCATTAATTTTGATCGCGGTCCAAGTGAGGTATGCATGCGGCGGCTAGATCGCGGCATACAGGGGCTCCAGTGAACCTCGGTTTAGCCGTATTTTTTTTTTTTTAATTTGATCCCATTTGCAGATTTTCGTACGCACTTGATCCTTATTCCAATTTTTGTCCCATTTTGATCCTTTTTTAGTACTTTTTTAGTTCAAATGCTCAATTATGATCCGAAAACTTCTAATAACTTCCAGATTAGTCATCGAAGCATCATAATCTTTCGAAATTGATCCTCTTTATAAATTTCAAAAGTGTGCAATTTAGTCACCAAACTTTTTCAAGTTGATGAATTTAACTTTGAAAACTGATCCTCCAACTCCACCTTTTGGACAATTTTTCCTCATGTGAATTACTTTCTTCTTCATGAAGTTATTCTACTTCCACATTTCAGAAACAAGTAACAATGTTTTTTATGAAATAATGCTTCCGCCACCCAACTTTCTTTCTTCTAAAATTAATTTACTTGTGACTTCTGAAAAAATCATTGTTTCTTATACTTCAAAATAGGATTGACACATTTATAGGATGATGGAAGACACCACTTAAATCTTAATACTTTTTCCCATCATCAATTTTAACTTGAATAGCCTTCAATTTGGAATTATCCCTTCGAAAACAATCAAATGGTCGGAGTTTTTAATACATGTATCCATTCTTAAAGAGTGAAACCATTCCTAAAGATACAATCACTTTTCAAGACTCCTTGTCTTATGCATCGCTTCAATTTTTCCCCAAATTCTTTCGTAGAATATATTTCATGAATATTTGCAAGGATATTTTTGTCAAAGAAACATATCTTCCTCCTGTCAAATTCAACTATCAATCATCATTGTTCATACTGGATTTTCCAGCGTCTTCATTACCCGAATCAAGACATCTTTAACTCGTACTTGTCAAAAGTTGAAATTGATTCTCCCATCATATTTTTAATGCCATATTTCACACTTGCCATACTTTTCCTAGGCTCCAATACTACAATCAACTTTACTCTCTAATACCACTTGCTGGTAGTTGAGAGTTCAGACCAATCTCTCAATTTACTCCCATTTCTTTGTTAGAAAATAGAAGACAAAATATAAAAGTATGACGAAAAATTTATGGTATGTCACATTTCCTCAGTTATATGCAAACTTTACAATTATATAGAGTTACTCATCAAATCCCCAAGTATTTACGAAAAAATATTCCTAACCGTTGAACAACCCACAAGTAAAACGAGAAAACTAAGATGTTAGACATGTAATTTTCCCACTTAAATCACGTACCAAACAAAGAAAAAAAACACACGAATATTTCTTAAGAATTATTGTTGATACCAAATTCTCAGTCAAGGATTAATGACAAATCCTCCCTCCCTAAAGAAAGTTCCTAAACAAAATCAACAAATACAGTTCCACATCATCCCCAAAAGTAGCTTGTTCCAAGATATACTTCAGTTCGATGAACTCTATCATAATTAAATGACATCATGATTATTGATTTGACTAGGTAACATCATGACCTCCACCTTGACCTCTCCCATACGGAAACGTTGAAGTGTTGATGTAAGCACCTCATGACCAACGAATCATAAATCAGCAATGATAGAACAACTGTAGTTATCCCAAACATCATGATAAGCTAAGAAAACCAACCTCCTCCTTTACTTATAAAACGTCTAACTGAATGATATGGCACACTTGACAAGGGATTACTGTAGTCGATGTATGGAGGCAATCAAAACATTGTAGATGACGTGACTAGGGACGACCAACTTGCTAAATTTGGGTTATAATTAGAATCATTAGTCCCCTCCATGAACCATGCAATCTCACTTTTCCACTTTGGTATTCATACATTTTCCAAAACAAGTTAATAATATAAAGTCTTGTCTATGCCAATTAATTATCTCGTTCTACATCATCATTAAGTTGACCGAAATTGACTACATCAATTTTGAACGTTAACAGTTATTAAATCTAATTCTATTGTACTAAGAGAAATCAACTTGAAGAAAGAAAATTAAAAATTTAAGAACAAACAAGAATTATAGAAGTTCACCTCAATATGAGACTACTTCCTCTCCCCCTTGCTAGAGTAATCCACTATGACCAAAAGGGGAAAAAAAAATTACAAGAGAAAATTACATGACTCTCTTCTATGTTTTCTTTTTGTCACTTTTTGATGATAATAGCAAAGTTTAAGGATGGCTTCCTATTATAAGATAAATTAGAGTAAAATCGAATTGTACAAGGATTCCAATTTCTTAATAAACAAGAATATCAACTTCTAAACACTATTTAAATTAATAATAAGTCTCTGAAATATACTAGGAGCATTTTTTAAACCAAATGGCATTACAAGCCATTCAAAATGTCCTTCTGGGCTAGTAAAGGCTGTCCATTCTATTGAGTCTGGATGCATCTTAACTTGCCAAAATCCTGATTTTAAATCAAACTTACTAAAAATATTACAATTTTGAATCTTATTTATTAAAACTGTTTTATCTGGAATATTATAAGCATCATCTATTGTATTATCATTTAATCTTTTATAATTTATTACCATTCTACTTTTACCTCTAATAATTTCTGAATGTTTTCTAACTATAAAAGCTGCTGATCTATGAGGACTTTCTGATTTTCTAATAACTCCTAATTTTAGTAAATCATTTATATGCATTCTAAAATCTTCTTGATCTTGATTTGTGGCTTCAATATTTTTTGTTTTAATAATATATTCTGGATTCTTAATTTTTATTTCACAAAATACTTTATCTTTATCCCAATATTTAAGAATATTTTCTCCCAATATCTCTAATTTTTCAAGTTTACTAATCATATTTTCTATATCTTGTTCTGTTACTAATAAATCATAAATTTTTTCAATTTCTATAAAGTCTAAACATATGTCTTCATAATCTTCATAAAATTCTTCTAGAAAATTTAAATTTTCTATTTCTTCATTTTCTATTAATTGACATTCTCTTTCTTTACTACACTCACATTCTTCTATATATATATATATATATATTTTTTTTTTTTTCTCTTCTTGATAATAATAAGAAAGAAGCATAAGGACAACTCCCTATTGTAATATAAATTAGAGCAAAATAGAATTATATAAGGACTCCAATTCCTGAACAATAATTCAAATTGCTAAGAAGACATTCAATTAACAATAGTTCACCAATGACTTAACAACTTAACAATAATCAGAATTGAAAATAATTAGACTCCACAACTTAACAATTTCTAACATGGAGACTAATTCACTTTCAATGACTTTGTAGTGGCAACAACTCCTCATTCCTCAAAAGGGAAGTCGAACTGAAGTTGCCTTCAACTTCAGTTTCTCGATTGGAATAGTATTTGCCAACATGTCAGCCGAATTTTGACTCCTTTGATTCTTCTCAAGTTTTAAAATTCCATCCTCCAAAGTCGATTCGATGAAATGATAACAAACATGTATATGCTTTGTTCTCGCATGATAAATAAATGCAATTTTGATCCAGGGGCTTCGTCCCCCCACGCACCCACAGGAGGAAGCCTCCTACCCTCCTTTCAAACGCAAAGACAACCTCATCGCGAAGGTTGATCCACGATCAGCTCCACGAAGTAGCAATAATTAGGATTAACAATAATTAAATTCCACAACTTTGCAATATTGAAAAAGAACAATGATGTCGAGCAAATCCTGATTTCCATACTTTTTGGTTGACGAAGAAATCTTAGCCAATTGTCTCCTTCTCCAATTTGAATTAACGCGACAGTGAAGAGAGGTATATTATCATTTTTTATTTTTTATTTTTATCTCCTATTTACAACTGAAGTCATTATAAATTGGTACTCTTTTGGTATAATCCCAACAATTAAATGTAGTAGTCCAAACCTAAATATGTTGTTTATTAATCTGTTCTGTCCGTTAACAGTTATCAAATATTTTTGTTCCTTTATTTTCTCAATTATTGGGTGAAATACTTGATTTGGGCTATTGTACAATCTCAAACTTGAATAATTTACTGACCCCACGAGTGTTAGGTTTGGTGAAATGATTTCATAGAGTTGCCATATTAAATTCTGACCTTATATATCTTAGAGGTATCCTACTTACACTACATCTCTCACTCAACCTTCTCTCTTTCCCTCTCCAAGGTTTTTCTTTAAGATATCAATTTTTTTTCCCTTTCTTCCACACTTTGAGATTGCTTTCAAATGGCTAGGTCCTCTTGCTGCAAGAAAATTGGCTTGAGAAAAGGGCCTTGGACAGCAGAGGAAGACCAAAAGCTTTTAACTTATATTGAAGAACATGGCCGTGGAGGTTGGAAGGCACTGCCTACAAAAGCTGGTAATAAGATGTTACATGCACTATATTTCGAAAGTTTATGTAGGGTTGAGTTTCAACTACATGTAGGATAGTAAGAGCAATAATAATCATAATCAAAATCGATACAAATACACGAATATACAATTGTTTACCGTGGACATGAGAATTACATAAATTCATTTTCGCTGGTCTTTGTATGTTTTCACTATAATAGAGTAAAAGATAGCAAGGGTTTTCACTCTTTTTTTTTTTTTTCTCGTGCCATTCATATACTTAAAATGGGACAGAATTTCCTATTTATGGTATGAATGTTAAGCTCACATGATACATATATGGAAGCCTATATTATAATTAAGCTCTGCATATGTTTTCGTTGATCAGATTTTGTTTGTCACTTGGCATATAGGGCTTCAGAGATGTTGTAAAAGTTGCAGATTTAGGTGGACAAACTATTTGAGGCCTGATATTAAGAGAGGAAATTTCAGCTTACAGGAAGATCAAACCATCATTCAACTACATGCTCTTCTTGGAAACAGGTATTAATTAGTTATATAAGATTAATTATCAGATAACTATTGTTCATGACCCACAATTTGTCTGAAAACCAAAATAATCCCCTTAACATGGAGTCAAGTTTTACCTTTTTTGTGTCTCACCCAACCCCACCACCCCCAGAAACGGAAGTGTACAAATTTTTAAATAAATGACGACAAACTTTTGTCTCTATAAGGCTACGTGGAACTACTTCGTCTGAAATGTTGTACTTTTAATTGACAAAATTCTAACATTTTTGGCTTTACATAATAGGCCAATTATTAGTATATATAATCCCTATCATTATACATTACCAAAAAATCATCTTTTTTTTTCCAAGTTTTCATGGATACTAAACTACTTATAATTTGATTATTTCTGTACAAGATGGTCAGCCATAGCTACTCACTTGCCAAACAGAACTGATAATGAGATAAAGAACTACTGGAACACGAATATCAAGAAGAGATTGACCAAAATGGGAATTGATCCAGTGACTCATAAGCTGAAAACCCACGAACTATGCACCAAACAATCCAAATATACCGCCTATATCAGCCACATGGCCCAATGGGAGAGCGCTCGGCTTGAAGCAGAAGTCAGGTATTGAGTCTTGGAATTCGTCTTAAAATGTCAACTTTATTTAAAAAAAAAAAAAAAAAAAAATGTAACTTGGACCATATATGTATTACTTTCATGTTTAACTCGGTAATTTTACCTAAATACCAGGTCCATCCGTGAATCCAAACTTGTTTCCAACGCTTACCACTCTCAGTTGCAGCTCCTCCACAAAGTCACTGTGCCACCACCACTAGCACCGCCGCAGCCACCAAGACCACCAATGTGTTTAGATATACCTAAAGTTTGGCAAGGTGAATGGGCAAAGCCCGCAAAAGATATGAATACAATATTTAATGGTGTTTCCTCTACATTGAACTTCTCATCACACAACAAGTTCGGTACCATTCCCACCACCGTTGGATTTAATGACAATTCATCCATGATACCAATAAATTACGTGGAAAACTCTGTTCATACTACCAAAGGAAGAATTACGGATCCTATTGATGATTCTAATTATAATACAGATTCTTTAAGTGTCCCAAGTTTCATGGACAGCTTCACAGCTCTTCTGTCTAACATGGATGTTGTCACTACTGACAACGTTGTTGAAAGCTACTATGGAAGTTCCGAAGAAGATAAGAATTATGGAAACATAGAACTAAATTCGATGGCATTGCCATCGGGTTCACATGTATTCTAACGATCAACTTTTTAGACCCAAGACGAGACTGATACAAGAATTTGTATGCTACTCCTATGTATGCTTAGAGTATCTAATGTGTAATGCTCTCAAAATAATATAAGAGTGTGTTTGATTGACTTTATTTTTCATGAAAAATGACATTTTTTTATCCAGATTCCTATTTTTATGGTGTTCGATTGACAATTTTTTCCATGAAAAACATTTTTCAAATTTTGGTCATGTGATCATATTTTTCTCAAAAACAAGGAAAACATTTTCTTTAGGAAATTGAGATTTTCATTTTCTAAGTAAATCACTAACTCTTATTTATCCACTCTCTTTCATCCATCTACTAATAAAAAATAGACAAATATGATATTTTCAACAATGAAAACAAATTCAATCAAATACATTTAATTAATAATTTTCATACAAATAAGTTCTAGCCAATTGAATTGTCTATAATTTATTTTTTTCCTTACAAATTTTATGTTTGCAATCAAAAGCACCAAGTATTTTAAAATAGCTAGTGAAATATTATTAGGTTCTAGGAAATTACAGATATTAAATGTAATATTTATGAAGAAATAAATGAAGTAAATGCTGCATTGTTGATGAAGATTTTGAGTCTTCATTATGCTTCATTTTAATCTTTATCTCTATTAAATCTTGATGAAGATTGAGTCTTCATCATTAATTTTTATGTTATTTTTAATTTTGATCTTTATCTAATTTTTAGTTATTCCTTTAAATAGGGGTAGTAAATCATCATGACAATAAGTTGTTGGAGTTTTTCTAGATTCACGATATTTGATATTTAAAATTAACGAGTCCAAATTCTCTATATTTGTGAACTAATCAAAGAGTTCTTGATATTTAGATTTTTACTATTCTTAAGAATCAACAAAAACTAGAATGTGATCAAGTTTCGACATTACTTTTGTAATCAACGGAACTTTGATAGCAAATTCATTTGTTATAACTACTGCTTCCGCTCCTACATAAGTCGAATGTTACAGATTTGAGTCTTCATCATTCATTTTAGAATTATCTTTAGGCTATGCGATCGCTTTATGCTCATTGGTTCAATTTTCACTGGCTGCATAAGTGCTCGATTATGCTCGATTTTTGGCAGCTTCCGTTTCGGGCCCCCAACTATCCGTCTTTATTCATCTTGACTACTTTAATTTACACCCTTATTCCTTCATTTCTGATTCCCCTTTATTAAGTCCTCACATCAGAAAATCAACAATAATTATCCAATGCAAGTTCCCCAAACTTTCCAAATGTTGGATTTAACTCTTGAAACTTATGATTTTTTTAATTTTTTTTTTTATTATTATTATTTTTTTTTTTTTTACAAATGCTCTTAATTTTTCTAATCGACCACATCCACTCCAGATAATATTTAATTGCTTCTAATCAACTTTAAGAGTCTATTTGATTCTCATTAATTGGAGAAAAAAATGAGTTTTGAATAGTAATTTTAGGAGCTGTGCGATTAAAAAGTAGAGAAAATTTTTTATATACGTGTATAATATTTATTGTGTGAATGTGACTAAAAATAATCCTGTAGTGAGACATAAATTAAATGAATAGGAATCAAACAGACCCTAATTAAACTCTAAAAGCCTCATTTACATCAATTGTATTCAAGTTGTGATTTTCCTACAATTAACATAAATTGCACAAAATTAAGTAAATATTTGTTCAATCTAACAGTGAGAGAGAGAGAGAGAGATAATAACTCTGAATAAGCACGTTAAATGCACTTGTCAAGCGGACATTTTGAGTTTGAACAATTTTTTTAAGGTTGCAAGCTTCGCAATTAATTTATGCCCCTGTTTGTCATTCTCCATCACACGTTCACATAATAAAATATTATACACCCAAACCAATAAAGTTTTCTTACTTTTTAACTATATATTTTTCAAAAAAATGCTATTCAAAAACTCAATATTTTCAAATAAATTCTATCAAACAAGCTTCCTCATTTTTCTAACGATTACTGAAGTCTTCCAACATTTTTCTCCAAGATTGCACCCAAACTTTTTAAGTCTTGGTGCTTTTGTTTTAAATAAGTTTTGAAATTTCTGAAAAGTGCTTATGAAACTCATAAGAAGTCGCTAGACGAAGAAATTTTCAATACCATCCACAGTCAAATAATTTTAAAATCTTCGTATTTCATTTTCTAATATGTTTCTAAAGCTCTAAACACTTCTGAAACGCATAAGAAGATTTATAATTATTTTTATTTAAAAAAATGGGAACTATATAGGATCCTTGCTGAAAATTTTGACCAACTAATTTAGAAACTCTGATAACGAATTGCTCTTCGTTCCTAGCTTCATAAATATTTGAACTAAAAATGAATTTAATTGAGAGTTTTACTTTTACATTTACGGAAAATTACCCAACATCTTTGTTCTAAATTTAATTATCAAAAAGCAATTCATTAATTTTTTTTTTTTTTTAACAAAAATCATATACTAATTTCAAAAACCATTCTCTCTCTATTCAGAGTAAAAAGTGGAATGGAAAGCAAACTATCATATTTTAATGGTGTTTCCTCTACATTGAACTTCTCATCACACAACAAGTTCGGTACCATTCCCACCACCGTTGGATTTAATGACAATTCATCCATGATACCAATAAATTACGTGGAAAACTCTGTTCATACTACCAAAGGAAGAATTACGGATCCTATTGATGATTCTAATTATAATACAGATTCTTTAAGTGTCCCAAGTTTCATGGACAGCTTCACAGCTCTTCTGTCTAACATGGATGTTGTCACTACTGACAACGTCGTTGAAAGCTACTATGGAAGTTCCGAAGAAGATAAGAATTATGGAAACATAGACCTAAATTCTATGGCATTGCCATCGGGTTCACATGTATTCTAACGATCAACTTTTTAGGCCCAAGACGAGACTGATACAAGAATTTGTATGCTACTCCTATGTATGCTTAGAGTAACTAATGTGTAATGCTCTCAAAATAATATAAGAGTGTGTTTGATTGACTTTATTTTTCATGAAAAATGACATTTTTTTATCCAGATTCCTATTTTTATGGTGTTCGATTGACAATTTTTTCCATGAAAAACATTTTTCAACTTTTGATCATGTGATCATATTTTTCTCAAAAACAAGGAAAACATTTTCTTTAGGAAATTGTGATTTTCATTTTCTAAGTAAATCACTAACTCTTATTTATCCACTCTCTCTCATCCACCTACTAATAAAAAATAGACAAATATGATATTTTCAACGTTGAAAACAAATTCAATCAAATACATTTAATTAATAATTTTCATACAAATAAGTTCTAGCCAATTGAATTGTCTATAATTTATTTTTTTCCTTACAAATTTTATGTTTGCAATCAAAAGCACCAAGTATTTTAAAATAGCTAGTGAAATATTATTAGGTTCTAGGAAATTACAGATATTAAATGTAATATTTATTGAGAACTAAATTAAATAAATGCTGCATTGTTGATGAAGATTTGAGTCTTCATTATGCTTCATTTTAATCTTTATCTCTATTAAATCTTGATGAAGATTGAGTCTTCATCATTAATTTTTATGTTATTTTTAATTTTGGTCTTTATCTAATTTTTAGTTATTCCTTTAAAAAAGGGTAGTAAATCATCATGACAATAAGCTGTTGGAGTTTTTCAATCTCTTAGATTCACAATATTTGATATTTAAAATTAACGAGTCCAAATTCTCTATATTTGTGAACTAATCAAAGAGTTCTTGATATTTAGATTTTTACTATTCTTAAGAATCAACAAAAACTAGAATGTGATCAAGTTTCGACATTACTTTTGTAATCAACGGAACTTTGATAGCAAATTCATTTGTTTTAACTACTGCTTCCGCTCCTACATGAGTTGAATGTTAGAGATTTGAGTCTTCATCATTCATTTTAGAATTATCTTTAGGCTATGCGATCGCTTTATGCTCAATGGTTCAATTTTCAATCGTTGCATAAGTGCTCGATTTTTGGCAGCTTTCGTTTCGGGCCCCCAACTATGTCTTTATTCATCTTGACTACTTTAATTTTCACCCTTATTCCTTCATTTCTGATTCCCCTTTATTAAGTCCTCACATCAGAAAATCATCAATAATTATCCAATGCACCCAAACTTTCCAAATGTTGGATTTAACTCTTGAAACTTATGGTTTTTATTTATTTATATTTTTGTTTTTACAAATGCTCTTAATTTTTCTAATCGATCACGTCCACTCTAGATAATATTTAATTGCTTCTAATCAACTCTAAGAGTCTATTTGATTCTCATTAGTTGGAGGAAAAAGTTTTGAATAGTAATTTTAGGAGATGTGGAATTAAAAAGTAGAGAAATTTTTTTATATAGGTGTATAATATTTATTGTGTGAATTTGTAGTTAAAAAAATCCTGTAGTAAGCCATAAATTAAATGCATGGGAATCAAACAGACCCTAATTAAATTCTAAAAGCCTTATTTACATCAATTGTATTCAAGTTGTGATTTTCCTACAATTAACATAAATTGCACAAAATTAAGTAAATATTTGTTCAATGTAACAATGAGAGAGAGAGATAATAACTCTGAATAAGCACGTTAAATGCACTTATCAAGAGGACATTTTGAGTTTGAACAATTTTTTTCAGGTTGCAAGCTTCGCAATTAATTTATGTCCCTGTTTGTCATTCTCCATCACACATTCACACAATCAGGATATAACTGTCTTTATTTTCGTTATTTAGTACTTTTATGTGGTTAGCAAAATGTTAATCATATTTGTGCAATTTACCTTTTAAAGAAGCTTTACAGACTATGGGGTCGATCCTGATTATAAGAGGTGTAGGCAATAGCCTAAAGCCCCATATTGATGAGGGTCTCAAATTATATAACGTTAATTGACTAGTTGAAGAAAAACGAAAATTATAAATACGAAATTCTTTAAATTAGAATTATCATATGCAAACACCATAAATTAATAAAATATGTAAATACAAAGAT